TTGCTAAGATGTTCCTTTAGAATATACCATAAGTTTTCAATCATATTTAAGTACGGTGAATTTCCAGGCCAGTTGAGCATAATAATTGTTTATAATATATAATATCATATAAATATAATATATCATATATATTATAATATAATAATTAAATATATTATAATATAATATCATATAAATAAGTTTTTTTATCATATAAATAAGTGAATTTCCAGGCCAGTTGAGCATAATAATTGTTTTCCCCCAACATGAACCCCTTCTGACAGATTTCAAAGTGCAGCATGGAGCCAAGTCATGATGAAATGTCCCTGCAAAGGTTTTCAACAATGGCACAGTATTAAGTTTTAAAATTTCAATATACTTCGAAGAATTCACCATTCCGTCAAAAGGAACTAGAATTCCAGTGTCACCTGCAGTGAAAAAAACCCAAACCATCAAACCAAAAATTTATCAATACATTAATTAAATAAAATTTTAAACTCATGACTGGCATTTTCCATGCATTGTTGCTACAATCACTGTAAGGTGTATTTTATGACAACAAATTAGCTCATCTGACAAAACATATAGATGGAACTATATATACCCATAGTAAAGACAGAAAATTGAAACAAACAAGCAACATGAAAGAGAGAAACAGCAATTTTGAATTTAAAAAATACCATATGAATCAAATTCTGAGAAATCGAAAGAATTCAATGAATTTTGGAAAAAAGACAATAACAAGCTAGAAAAATAAAAATGCAGTCAACATTATAAACCTTATCAGTCAAAACAGGAATGAGAATTCTCGATTTTGATTGGATTATGATACTGAAAACGTCTGACCACATGGCAGATTAATGGAAAATGCAACTGACTACAAAAAAGGTTATTGCAAAACATTTTTCATATTTTTTTAATGAAGCTAAACTAAAAATGTTTATCAAATGCTGCAATCAAATAAATCAAATTTTCAATAACTTTCTATCATCAGAGATTTATCTTGATACATCAAGACATCTTAAAAACTGGAAATTTCAGCTCATTTACAAAACTTTCCTGACAGACTTTTGTTCATATTGGGTCATCTGAAAATTTTTACATTTTTTTTTTTTTTATAAAATACCAATAATGAAGTGGGAAAAAAAATCAGTGAATCACAAAAGCAGCATACTATTCTAATTCTGCCATCTTGCTGGCAGCTTGAAAAAAAAATTTTTTTTAAAGCCATTAGGTTTGTTCACAAAGTAGTTATCGAGTAGCTATTTAACAGGCTTCACAGAAATGAAATCCAGGTCATTCAAAGAATTCTGAAGTGACATGAAGAAATGAAATCCAAGGGGGCAAAGCCAAGTGGTGGCACAAAAGGTCCCAGTCATAGTCAATAAGGCTCTGCCTTCAAATGTAATGCCAATCATTGTTATTATGGTAGATGATACCCCAATGATTGTTTTATTAATTTTAAACTTTATTGATGGATTTTATCAATTAAAACTTTGGAATAATTTGAATAGCACTTCCGAAAATTATTTACAGGATAAGAAATTTTTTTAATATATTTTCATGCAAAATAAAGAAAAAAATGTTATTAAATGCTAATTTTAACTTATATAAGAACTCAACTAATAATCTAAAATGATACCAAAAATTACGATACTAGATGTGAAACTTTTTTTTGCAATTTTTTTTATAAAATTAGGCTTAGAGATGCAAAACTCGTTCTGTACGGCGACTACCTTCGATTCCCTTCTGTCCCGCACGAGCGTCTTGAACAAAGGCATGCCGTCACGAAAGGGTTAAACATTTCAACTCATCATTGAATTGTGTCACCAGAAATAGCATTTTTTCATATATACAGAGCAGGATTAACCAACTATGCAAAATAAGCACGTGCTTAGGCATCAAGGAAAGGAGACATTAGGAACTGAAGAAAAGGGGGCCCAAAAAAATTCCCCTGCCTATTTTACCACAGAATGATGTAGCTAAACCAAGACCGAGATAGAAGAAATCAGAGGAAAGCAGAAGTAAATTTATGTAGGAGACCAAAATCTTAAGTGCTTAGGGTTCCTAAAACTTTTAATCCAGCATTGCACATACTGCGCAAATTTTATGACCAGTCCGGCTACCATTTTATCTTTGTTTAAAATAAAGGAACGTACTACAGCCAAAAGTCATTAATTCGGACACCCATAATCCGGAATGATCTATAATCTGGACCTGAAAGCTACAAACTTTCTGCACATGAGTTGCAAGACCTTTACGGCTGCGAATATGCGTGTGCGCATGCGCAAAATATGTTTACGAATGCACGTTTAATGTATAACGGATGGTATAAGCTAAGCTAAAATTATCTAATTCAGTTAATGTTGCAGATTGCGTTGTTCCTTAATCTTCGAATTGGATCTGGCTTATTATTTTTTGCAGAATGTTAGAGCAATTTTATTAAGTTGGCGTTGTTCCTTAATCTTCGATGGATTTGATTATTTTTTGCAGCTGTTAGAGCATTTTATACAGTAAGCTTCGATTATGTCAAATAGAATTTCTGATATAGTATATTTACTAATATGTAAAGGATCTACAAAGCGAAAGTATGTTTTGAAGTCAATTAAACAAAAAGTGGAATTACTGCAAAAAATGGATAAAGGCATATCCTTTGTTTATCTAACCATTCCGAAATCTGTTTATCAATTTCATGCTGCTCTGCATGTGTGTGGGGGGGAGAACGTCGCGGCACGCAATGAACTGGAAGGTGATCTGTCAGCACTATCCTTATCTTCAGAGCAGATGTTTTTATTTTATTTGGCTTATAATTCCTTACTAAATGTAGTATTTCATCTCGATGTACTCCTCTTTGATATGATTTAAATCAAATTCCTCGTCATTATAATTTGCTTCCGATAGCGAAGAAAGTGACACAGAGGTTATTGAAAACGAAAAAATTTCGATTGACAAATTAGTCGGTATTCTCGACACAGCAATTATAGGACTTGAACAGAGGAACTTTGTAACTGAACAAGAAATTATGTCTGTTTATAGAATTAAAGAGAAAGTATTATCACATAAAAAAACGAAGCAACTTAAACAACTTGCATTGAAAGAAATGTTTAATAAAGAAAACAAATAAATATTAAGCTTTTTTTTTTTTTTTTTTTTTTTTGTAAATTTTGATACCCTTTAGATCATAATTGTTCTTTATTTCATAAATTACGGTTTCATATTTTTAATTTTATAATTTCTGCATGCCATCTTACCAGATTTAAACTGATCTATAATCCGGAAAAATCGATAATCCGGAATCGCCGAAGTCCCGACGAGTCGGGATTAACGACTTTTGACTGTATAACAAAAATGAATTTTTGAATTTTAAATTTTTAGCGCTGCATTGAAAAAAAAATTACACTCCATTTCATACTAGAATCGTGCAACACGAGTAGAAAAGACTGCATTTTAACATTCATTTGGATCAAGGTCACTCTTAATCAGTAGCAAAAAAAAAAAATAATTTGATAAAACTCACACTGCAGTTCTAAACTGCACAAATTTCCAGATGACCCAATAATATTTCAATAACATTATTTATACTACAATTAATACTAAATTAACTGAATCCAATTGCATTACACATGAAACTTTGATATGAAGTATTTTACAATTTAGCTCAGAAGTCTGCTTTTTAAAAATATCTTTCAACATTATTTGACTTTAATTTAGGTGCTTTTTTTTTTTCTTTGACATCAAAAGTTTTTTATATTTTTTCATTCAAGTAGGCCACTGAATCAATTTAACTCATGACAACTTAAGATTCATAATTTTTAAATGCTTGCCAATTGCACTTCCTTGAAGCAAAACTGGTCTAAAATTGAAGTAGGTTCATTTCTCTTTGTTCACTTCACTTCTTTTCCATTTATTTCTATCCGAATTTTGATTTTTATGTCAGTTTAGACCCAGGATAATTTCTAACAAACAAAATAGCAAATTCTATTCTTGTAAGATATTCATAAAGTATTTAAAAGAAGAAGAGGTCGTAACTGTTGGGATAAACCTGATGCTATTTAATGAATTTAGTGCAATTGAGGAATAAAATAAGCAAGTTCAATGAAATATTAGAGACTGAAAATAATTTAAGACAGAGGTTACTGTAACAGATAATGATTCTGATTTTAAATTGGTATATGAAAATATACTCTGATACTAAAAATGAAAGACTACAAGAATCTGATTAAAATATTTCAGCAGAATAATGCTGAATGAAAGATTTTGATTCTTTTATTTGTAATATTTTGAATTATGGAAAAAATAACTTGAAATAGAAAATGTGCTGAAATGATGTAAAAGTGACATTTGCAAAAAATTCTTCATTCATCAGTAGATATTCATTCTCCTCCTAGTAATTCTTTTAACATTGTTAAATAACTTATCAGCTTTTTTTCTTCAACATGCCATTCAAACAGCATTTTTTAAGGAAAAATAAAAATGGTCAGTTGTAATAAAGAACAGCAAAACGTCAGTAACACTCCTAACTTTTGCACAGGAACTAAAAGATTTTGCAAAATAGATACTTACATGTGTTACTTTTGACAAACTCAATAACTAAAAAATAACAGACTATGCCAACTCTGAGATTATACTGAAGAGTTCAACTTATAAAATACCTACAACAGCCAATAGCACCAATATGCTCAGATGAAAGCATTTTTTTTGTGTGTGTGTTCTTTTATTTTAGGTCATATGATTACATTGCTTATTTCAAGTATCACTACATTTAGAAATGTCATTAGTGCCTAGTGGCATATAAAACAAAAATTTATGACAGCATATTTTACACTGTTTTCCATTCAGTCTCTTTTACAACAATATTATATTTTTCAGTGAAGAGTAAAATATTCAGCTACCTTGATTTATTGGCTTAAATCTGCTCAACATGCAAGATTGGGGAAGGGGGGGGGGAGTCTGCATCTGCAAAATTAGTTAAGAAACAAGTGTGCATTTGTACTATTACTTAAAACAATAAAAAACCTTACACATTGTTTGGAATTAACATAAGCAAAACTTCTTCTTTATCTAATTTATTATCATTATTCAGATCATAATCATGAGTAAATCGATCTTTCTCCATAATATACTGTTCAGAGGTAGAAACTGGAGTAGCTCCATAAGTATCGGCTACATATTCTTCAAAGCTCAAAAAGCCATCTTTATCTGCATCTCTTTTCCTCATAGCTTGCTCATATACAACCTAAAAAGAAAAATTAAAATTTTTGAAGAAAATATCTATAAGTAATCTGATTATAGCAACTGCATTAAATGAACTGCAATTTAAAAATACAGATTTCTGACTTATGGCAGTATATATGACGAGTACTAAAGTCCATGTAACATACGCTATCAAATTTTCCCTATTTATGTAATTATATACTTAATCATAATTTTATATGAAAAAAAATCAACTTCAAGATACAGAAATTAAGAAATTCCATTGAAACAGAGGAAGATTATCCACTCTAGCAAGAATGACATTCATAAAAAAATCTGCATGGGAAAATACTTGCATCTATATAATGCAGGAGGAAAAACATGCCCACATTTCCCATTTCATACCATTAAAAAATTTCTAGATATTAATCTATTATAGTTTCAACAATTCAGTCGTTGATGAACACACAGTTTCAGCACAGAAAACTGCTCTACAAGCTCAACGAAATTTTAAAGCTTTGTTACATGGTAACAGTAAAATACTAAACATCTACCCAAAATGTCCAGCACAAGTAATTATATTGAAATGCTCCAAAACAGTAAACCTGGTAAAACAATCTAATAGTTCTTAGGTTCCTTAAGGAAGCATGCTACTGCAGAATTACAAAGTATGAATTCCATGAGTATGCAGAAACAGTCTGTATATAATTAAGACCATATTTCTACAGAGTGATTCGTAGTTTTGTCCTTGGCGGTGTAGGATTTCTGTGTTCCATAATACAATGCATTATGTGCAGTGACAAAAACCTGCCATTATTAAGACAGACACAGCTCTAGAACTTTCTACAAAATATCTGTCACTTTATAGACACACTGGTGGGCACAGCCAATGACACTGTCATTATCCATTGATACCATTACAGTATATTCTGCATTGACTGCACGGGTATTGCAAGAAACAAACATTATTTTGAACGTTAGCTATGGAAATTATCAATACATTATGAAATGTGAATGAAAGAAAATTTAATACAGGCTGAATTTTAAAAATAATTTGGAAATATAGTACAGAACTCTGAAAACTTTTAGATACCGGGTGGCGTAATTAAACTGACAGTGCTCACAGTGTTCTGTAGCGTGATCTATTTGTGAGAATGATGCCACATTCTGTAGGAAGATTACAAGACGGGGGACAAAGGATTCCACACAAAAAAAAAAAAAATAGTTCCAAAAGTCACCGCTAGGGGAATATTTGGCACTGTGTAATAGAAAATAGAGTGTTACCAAATGCAAATTAATACGGAATAAAATTACCTTTTATTATGGACATTTTCTGATTTAGTTCAAGTGCAATATGGCAACACTTTTTAAAAAGCGTAAAATCTGTATAAACACTGATAAAGTCTCGTGATCTGCAATATCACGTACGCTGAGCAAAAGAAGTTCTTTATTCAAATTTCACGTTACATCCATTCGCACAGTGCCAGCAGCTTGGGTTTTAAAAGGCAATGTGGTACATTTCGAATCAATTGGATTGAAAGTTTATGTGCAACGTCTCTTTCTTTAGTCGAGCGTGCGTTACTGGTCAAATTCTTTTACCTCAAGCAGTGCAACGCGTCAGCCGCTCTTTGTGCTTTTAGAACGCACAAAAAAATGCATGAAGGTAATGGTTCTGTGTCAGTTAATGGGCTAAAAACAATGGTTGCGACGTTTGAGAAAACAGGTTCTCTGAAGGTTCAGTCAGGCAGAGGACGAAAACCTGTACCACAGGATACAATCGAAGCAGTTGCCATGGCGATTGTCGACAGAGAACCAGACAATATTGCTGCCACCTCTAGCGCTCGTGGAGTAGCTCGGAATATGGATATGCCTTACAGTACGGTATGGAAAATCTTACGAAAGATTATCAACTTCTATCCGTACAAGATCAGCCGTGTACAGGAGTTACTGTACCCCGACCATGATAAGCGATTGACTTTTGCTCTCACCTTTCTTGCCAGAATGGAGGTGGATGATGCTTGGCCGTGGAAAATCTTATGGGGAGACGAGGCCCACTTTTACCTGAATGGAACTGTGAATACCCAGAACTGCCGAATTTGGGATGACAAATCACCACATGCAGTCACAGCAATTCCCTTACATTCACCAAAGGTAACTGTTTGGTGTGGGTTCACAGCAGAATTTATAGTAGGTCCATTCTATGAGAACATTACCCCGACAGGACCGGAAACCTGTTCTGTTACCGGAGAGAAATATCGCCACATGTTGAACAGCTTTGTCATTCCGGCACTTCAGCAAAGACAATGCCTGGGGGGGAAATCATTTTCATGCAAGATGGAGCCCCTCCACACGTTGCTGTACGGGTGCAACAGATGCTACGACAGAAATTCACAACAGAAAGAGTCATTAGCCGCTACTTTCCAACTGCATGGCCACCTCGGTCGCCTGATCTTACCCCATGCGACTTCTGGCTATGGGGTTACCTTAAGTCCAAGGTCTATCAAGGAGTGGTCCAGGACCTGGCTACGTTGAAGGATAACATATCACGGACTGTACGGGAGATTCCTGCAGACATGTTACTTTCTGCTGTTGTGCATACTGTGCACAGAATGCAATATGTGGTCCACAACAACGGCAGCCACATTGAACCTCATTTGAATGCAAAAATAAAAGGTAATTTCCGTATTGATTTGCATTTGTTAACACTCTATTTTCTATTACACAGCGCCAAATATTCCCCTAGCGGTGACTTTTGGAACTAATCGCGAAATCCTTCATCCCCCATCTTGTTTAATCTTCCTACAACATGTGGCATCATTCTCACAAATATATCGCGCTACAGAACACTGTGAGCACTGTCAGTTTAATTATGGCCACCTGGTACTTAATATCAATTCTGTTGACTGTGAAAGTTGACAGAGAAACAGACAAAGCTGTGCCAATCATTTCTGTGGAACTCTGAAAGAACTAATACCTCTTTATTTAATAAACAATCAACATTCAATCTACTTCATTTTTGCAGTTCCTAAAAAGTCTTTTATCCATTTCTACTAATTCATTGGGAAGCTCTCTTTAGTACACTACGAGTACAAATTTCCCATACATAATTATTCCATTCTATGACTGTGTAGTGACTGCATGGTGGTAGTCGAATGATGGCTTATTTGCTGTTCAGTGCTTTTGGTGTTTTAGCTAAGGCTAGCTCATGGTGACATTTACAGACTTAAAAATGGAAGCGTGGTGTGAGAAACCCAAGTTCTGTTGATGACAGAACCTGAATCTACTCCATATGAGTGAAATGCTTTATCATTATTATAAAAAGAGCTCTTTGGTGACGTTTTCAAGAATTACATCTCTTTTAAAATTGCGAACACAGACAAGCTCAAGCAGATGTCATTATTTCCTCCCCCAGCATCTGGTATGTGGTATGAGGAGGTAAGACTCATTGTCCTGATCAGTTTGAGTCCACTGCATCAATGTGTTTTATCGTAGCATTGGTGGGCTGTTGTTCTGCTCCATTCATTGGACTTGGCTAGTTGGGTTCACTGAACATTTGTGAAGTGAGGCACTGAGGGTGGTGCGAGTGATGGTGTTCCGAGTTCCTCAGGTGGGTAGGTGGAGGGTATGTGGTGGTTGCTGATTGATGGCTCACCTTCTGTGCAGTGTTTTTACTTAAGGCTAGTTTGTCACAACATCTATGGACTTGAAGTGGAAAAATGATGAGTCTTGAGATCCTTCAAGGCTAGAGCCTGAAACTCAGCCACCTGAGTGAAAAGCTTTATCATCATCATAAAAAAGCTCTTCAGTGACAATTTCAGGAAATATAACCCTTTCAAATTTATGAGCGTTGGCTGGTTCATGCAGACACCGTAAACTGTTTTGTGTGCCACACACATGCAACCATATCATAGCCATTAATACACATTTTTTTTCCCCCACTGCTAGCTGTTTTATAGAAGGAAGGTTCCAAATTTTATTTATTCATTTTTTCAAAAGGCAAGGGAAGTGTGCAGAATACCAGTTAATTTATATCCTTGTTCATAAAAACAAAAAGTGGCTAATCAAGAACATCATGCTCACCCATACATTAAACTGCTTACTACATGATACTGCTTGGCATTACTACATTGTACTGCTTGGCAACAGCTTCACAGTTGCATGTAATAATGAGGATAACATGCAAGTACCCAATTTCATTTCTTTTATGAATAAAGGGGAAAAGAAAAAAAAAATTTAAAGCATGTATGCTCTTACCTGGTACATACGTTCAAACTCTTCAGGATGTGAAAAAGCAGGAAATTCAGATTTATCTAAAATGCCATCTTTATTTACATCTGCAGCCTCAAACAGCTCTTTATCATTCTGCAACATCTAGCAAAAATAAACATAAAAATGGCTCGCATATTCCACATTCACAACAATAAATAAATAAATAAAATGAACCTCTTTTGCAAATACATTAAATGCACAGTGTGAAAAAAATGAATGGACAGTTCTATATCTCCCATTCTACTGGGCCAATTGACAAAATTCAAATTCCGTTTCCCATGTCTCAAAAGCGTGACTTAGGATATATGTTAGATTTTTATACAGCATTGTTCTAACATAGGTATTTTGACACAAAATCGGACTTTTTCTAAAATGACATACCAAATTTTTTTCATATTTCGATTCTATGACTCAAATTATGCCTAAATATTAAATTTTGTGAAATTTATGGTGAAATTTTAAAATTTATCTTGGCCCATTTTTTTAAGTTAGCGCCAAGAATAATTCACTTGGCAAGATTCTTAATTTATAGTAACGTATTTTCCTTTCCTTTTTTTCATTGGAGACAAGCAGGGGGGTAGTCATCATTCATATTTTCAGATAATTTTATATTCAAATAATTTTAGCAAAGTGCATAAACCACATTTGCCATTTTCGCTTATAACACACATACTGAATTTAAAAACAATGCCAATATGTAAATTCATGTACAGCCTAGGAAATTTTGAAGGAAAAAACTAACTTTTTCCAGATATGATTAGGATGGGACATTTGCTTTAAGACAATGGTAAAACTTTTATAGGTCATAATACAAAATTTTTTTCGAAAAATTATTCACTATAAAAAAAATGCTTTTAATTGCTAAACACATTTTTAGGAAATATTCCCAAGAATATTTCAAATTTTCCAGTACATCATTATTTTCAGTAGTTTATCCTTGAGCATGTTTTCAAAATTTTAATACATAATCATAAAAAAACATATCTTTATGACTAGCTAATGAATATTAATAAAGAGTATACACTGAAGTGACAAAAGTCATTGGATACCTCCAAATATTTTGTCGGTCCTCCTTTTGCTCGGCGAAGTGCAGCAACTTGACGTGCCATGGACTCAACAAGTCGGTGGAAGTCCCTTGCAGGAATATTGAGCCATGCTGCCTCTATAGACGTCTATAATTGTGAAAGTGTTGATGGTGCAGGGTTTTGGGCATGAACTGACCTCTCGATGATGTCCCATAAATGTTCGATGGGATTCATGTTGGGTGATCTAGGTGTCCAGATCATTCACTGGAATTGTCCAGAATGTTCTTCTAACCAATCACGAACAATTGTGGCCCGGTGACATGGCGCATTGTCATCCATAAAAATCCCATCGTTGTTTGAGTACGTGAAGTCCATGAATGGCTGTAAGTGATCTCCAAGTAGCTGAAGGTATCTATCCATTTCCAGTCAATGATCAGTTCAGTTACACCAGAGGACCGAGTCCATGCCATGTAAAAACAGCCCAGACTATTATGGAACCACCACCAGCTTGAACAGTGTCTTGTTGACAACTTGGGTCCATGGCTTCGTGGGGTCTACGCCACACTCGAACCCTACCATCAGGTCTTACCAACTGAAATTGTAACACATCTGACCAGGCCATGGTTTTCCATTCGTTTAGGGACCAACCGATATGCTCAGCCCACGAGAATCGCTGCAGGTGATGTTGTGCTGTCAGTAAAGGCACTCGAGTCGGTCTTCTGCTGGCATAGTCCAAGGAAGACAAATTTCGCCGCACTGTCCTATCGGACACATCCCTCGTACATCGCACATAGATTTCTGTGGTTATTTGATGCAGTGTTGCTTGTCTGTGAACATTGACAACTCTACGCAGACGTCGCTGGTCTCGGTCATTAAGTGCAGGTAGTCGGCCACTGCACTGTCCATGGTGGGATGTTATGCCTGAAATTAGATACTCTTGGCACACTCTTGACACTGTGGATCTCGGAATGTTGAATTTCCTAACTATATCTGAAATGGAATGACCCATGCGTCTAGCTCCAACTACCATTCCGCGTTCAAAGTCTGTTAATTCTTGTCGTGCGGCCATAATCACGTCAAAGCCTCTTCACATGATTAACTTGAACACAAATGAAAGCCCTGCCAAAGCACTTAGCATTTATACATTTTCTATGCGATACTACTGCCATCAGTATATTTGCATATTGCTATCCCATGACTTTTACCACTTCAATGTAATTGTAAATTTTCTTCCAAGTATAAATTCCCATCATTGCATTTTAAAATTAACACTTGAAAAAAAAAAAGTTTTGAAAGTTCATTCAGGAAAAATAATTGTATCATTATATATTTAAGACCCAACTGAGATTAACTTGACAGAAATGTCAGTCATATTGAAAAATTTAAAAATGAAAAACAATAAAAGTTAAAGAACCTGGAAGTCATCGGATGTTTTGTCTACACTTCCTATCATATCATCATCCATAATGCCAAAAACATCAGCAATGTGTTCTTCCCAAGTAACTTTCCCATCTCCATCACCATCTTCATTTTCCATTTCTTGCATTGCTTCTTCTTCTGTCAGCATTCTAGATTCAATATCAAACTCATTTTCCATTTTATAGATACATAAAATATAAACTTAAGAGCTATAATGGAATTTCTACTGAAAAATGACATAAAAAGTTAAAAACGATACTCCCAAAACAATAATTTTAACAATGTGTCAAATAAGATGACTTTTATCTGTTAGAAACAAACAATATACAACAACTTATGTTCACATTTTAGTAGTATGCATGTATGTGTGTGTGTATGCCTTTATCAAACTAAGCTTTCATTTCATATTTACTATGATGACATCATATTTTAATATGAACTAACTACACCATACATTTATTGACTTATTAATTGTTACAAATCAAAGGCTGCATGAGTTGCAAGAAATGGGTTGTTGCTGCAAAAAACTAAAAGAAACACAAATCAAATGTACAACTCATTATACAAGTTGAAAATCCTATGCAACCAGTTCTACTAGATACTCAGCCCAGAAAAAACTACCAGTTTTAGGGCCATTTGAGCATAGTTAAGCTACATATTATGCATTGTGTATAAAAGATACATGCAGCTATTTCTGGAAATAATAGAAATATTATACAGTACAAAGTCCATAATCCGGACTCATCGTGACTTCGGCAATTCTGGATTAGGGGTTTTCCGGATTATAGATCATCAATTTAAATCTGGTAAGACGGCATGCAGAAATTATACAATTTAAAATACGAAACCGTAATTTATGAAATAAAAAGCAATTATGATCTAAAGGGTATCAAAATTTATAAAAAAAAGCTTAATATTTATTTGTTTACTTTATTAAACATTTCTTTCTTTCAATATAAGTTGTTTAAGTCGCTTCATTTTTTGTGCTAATATTTTCTCTTTAATTCTATAAACAGACATAATTTCTTGTTCAGTCACAAAGGTCCACTTTTCAAGTCCTGTAATTGCTGTGTCAAGAATACAGACTTACTTGTCAATTGAAATTTTTGCGTTTTCAATAACATCTCTGTCACTTTCCTCACTATCGGAAGCGGTATTTTCTGGATCTAGAACCATAACTGCAGATTTCGCCGTAAGTTGATTGATGATTGGGGCATTGTCGTCGCAATGAAATACTTCTGTTATATCAACTTCATTTATTACCGCTTCTCCACATTTCTTTACAAAATCCAATAACTGGAAAATTTCACCTTTTGTTTGCGATGTCCGAAAACCTTCAAATTCGCAGCTATCATCTTTATCGTCCTCAGCATGAAATATGGCAGCTAGCCATAAATTATGCCAAGTATTTTTTAACGTATCTGGAGGCACATCACATTTGTGACTTTGAGGTCTGGATTATAGATCATTCTGGATAATGGATGTGCAGATTACGGACTTTGTACTGTACCATATATTTCCTTGGCAAAAATTTGAATGATTTCCAGGAACAGAAGTGTGTTAAAAAAGCTGCTTTACAAAAGTTAGTAAAGATTTTCTAACAAAAAGAATTAAAGAAATAAATTTATTTAGCATTCCTTAATACACACACAAAGGGGGGGAACATTAAAATTAAGCTTTGAATTAGCTTGAGCAGAAAATATCACAGAATGGATATTAACTCTATTAACAAAATCTCACTGCTCAGATCAGTCACCCCATACAATAAAACTCACTTTTAAGTATCAGTAAAAAGTATACAGGGCAGATAAAAAAAACCTTAACACATTTCATAAATACATAAAAAAGCAATCAGGGTAGGTCTGTAAGAACCACAAGTATGTTACCTTATATAGAAAAGTCGCCTCTGCCTACAGTCAGTACAATTCAATGCAAGCACTTTAACATGAACAACATATGAGCTAATAATATACCTTGTCAATTTACATTTCAAAATAGACTCTGTAACATATGCAATTGCAGCAATCATACAACTTTTCAATTCATAGAGATTAATATGACACTTTCATTTGATAAATTTTGTTTCTAATGCATTCTCTACAAGAAAAAGTCAAGTGGTTTGGTTTAACTGATTATGGTGAAGCACTCAAGGGTTTTCTTCCTACAGGAAGGGGATGCCCTTTGTGGATGACTTTCTAAAGGAAACTGTCTCACATACATATTACACATGGGGAAAACCATGAAAACGCCCATGCAGTCAGCCCGTTCACGGGGTTCAAACCTCAAACTGAACTAGCAGTATTCAGAGAGATTACTGCTTGACTGCTGGTGGGCTAAAAGTCAAGTGGTGTGATTTCTGAATACACTAGAGGCCAAAAGATAAGACCATTCTGTCCAGGAGATTAGTGTGGAAATTCTTGATTTAAAAAGTCATGTGCAGTGTTATTCTAAGGTAGAGGGGCACCATTTTGATGTCAAATGATTTTTGAATAAAAATGATAAATCTCAGTCACCTCAAATCTAATCATATTTAAATAAGCTTCTTTTGTCACTGTTTTTTCATGGAAAAAGAAAGGCACAGGTACACAATCTGCCATTAAACCATACCGCAGATACTTTTCAAGATCATTCCTGATGTGCTCCATTACATAGTACAAATTTTTATTTACGTCCTGAATTCGAACAATATGGTGGTTCACTTGATCTGAAACATGGCAAGTCACTTTCTGTAAACACAACATTTCACAAGAAGTCACAACCTTCCTCTACATAATTCAGTACCCACACAGTGAAGATGTAATGATGAGGCTTGATATTAAATTGGGTATCACATAATAACAGCATTTTGTGTGTAAAAGGACAAAATTTTACTTCCTTCTACAAAGTAAAGGAAGCAGTGCAACCTGAAAAAAAAAATCATGTTTCAACAGAAATATCTATGTTGACCATTCCCAAAGTTATCTGGACAATTCTTTTGTGTAATTTATCTATGTACAGAGAGAATAAAGGCCCTTTGTAAAAGAATTGTAAATTGGATTTAAAAGAGCTTTTTTCGTGATGTCTGTACATACATATATGCCACGCATAGCTAAAAATTATTAACATTGAAATTTTGCATATGGGACTGCTATAACATCTAGTTGCACACTTTTCTTTTTTATGTAATCAGCAGAACCAAATATACATGTTTATTTATATATATATATGTATACAGTGCATCCGTAAAGTCATGATGCATTTTTGATCGGTCTCAGGAAAGGAACAAAACAAGATAGAAATGCAAAATCACCAAACAAAAGAAAACCTCTTAAAGTTTCATACCTATTCAGTGCAGTTTGATGTGGGCTCCATTTGTTGTCTTACAAACATCTAAATGATACTCAAGTTCTTCCCACACATGACTAAGGACATCTGGTCTAAGAGAGTGAACAACGTCTGTGATTCTCTGTTTTAAATTATTAACGTTGTTGATACATTCACTGTACACAGGCTGCTTGACATAACCTCACAAGTAAAAATCAAGGGTGTCAGATCCGGGGATCTTGGTGGCCATGGTTTGACAGAACCCCTGCCTATCCACCGCTGGGAGAATGTTGTGTCCAGAAACTCGCCAACAATGTTGGCACAGTGTGGAGGACCACCATCATGTTGAAAGATAACATCTAGAAATTGTGGCACTGCATACAATTCCAACATTTCAAGGTAGTTGTCTGCTGTCACAGTCTGCTCTGCAAAGAAAAATGGTTCTATCACTTTATCATGCATCAAGCCACACCATATGTTCACTTTAGAGCTATTACGTTTTTATACGTGTACGTATAAGGATTCTCAGGAGCCCATATTTGGAAGTTATGCTGATGAACATATCCACTAACATGGAATGTTGCCTAATCGCTAAACACAATCTTCTCCAGAAATTGGTTATCATTGTAGATCTCATGAAGCATATTTGCAGCAAATGCGAATCGTTTGGGTCTAGCCGTCGGTTTGATAGCGTGCAACAGCTGCAGTTTGTAACTCGTTAAACATAGATGTTTCTTTAACACTTTATGAACTGATGTCTTGCTTAGGTGTAAATGTCGAGCACATACATGCACTGGTTTTTCAGGGTTTTTTTAGGTAACTCTCCCGTATAGCCCACAGACTCCTCACTGACTGATGGGCTGGCAGAACGGGGTTTGTCCAACAAACTGCTGGTATCCTTCAACTACTTATCCCACCAATTAATGTTATTCGTATGTGGTGGCAATTCATTGCACACGTGACAATATTCACGCTGCATTTGGTCATGGATTCGAATTTTGTAAGCCATAGAACACAATGAACTTTTTTCTGTATGGTCCACATCACAACTCATGTGAACATACTTGGGCTGATATACTGCTTCGCTGTTCGCTATGTTGCCTCATCACCTGTGTGCACATACGCTTGCACATTATACTATGGAAACTTGGAGAGTTTTCCTTTTATCTGGTTAAGATCTCACATTTCTATCTTGTTTTGTTGCTAGTTCCTGTGCCCGATCAAAAGTGCATCATGACTTTAAGGACGCATTGTATATACACATACAATATACCCACTTCCTTCCTTGGCAAGTCCTTACTCGTCCTTTACTTTTTCAATCATTGGTTGTAGTTATATACTTCCAATAACAGAAGTGTTTTATATGATGAAAATATTCATGTTTTGACAATGTAAAATTCTTTAAAAAATTTAATTTTCAATAAATAATGAAATCTAACTTTTAATGTGATCTCAGGCTTTTGATGTCATTTTCAACTTGCTTTGAGAGACTTTTTTATTTGGTTAGAGTAATCTGAAGAAATAAGTTTACATAAAGTGCAGCAAAAAGTGTGCATAATTTAATAGGCTGCATAAGGAAGTCATGTGGTCATCAGGTATTTTATGAAACAATTGATCAGTTGTTACTGATAGCATTTTTAGTTTTCTCACTACTCTACTGAAGGTTTTCTGTAGGTTACAAGGGCAAGCATAACCAATTTTTTCAATACCAACATCACAGGTGTTCGGTCTTCCATCCAATTAACAAGGACATAACCAGTTTCCAGAAAATTTTGATGCAATAATAAGATGCTATTATGGCATGAAGTGACTTTATTATATTTTTCTGGAAAATTCTTTTCACCTGCATGACAGATTAAGTCTCAAAGTATCAGCCAAAACAAATTATGTTCTTTGATAGAGAAACTATTACACAATTGTAGAAAATATCATTTTTACTAGATAACTGGACCTATCTGTTTTACTCTTTAATAATTAAAAAAAAACTTTATTACACAGTCAACTAACAAACCTGAATTTCCACTGTCTACCTCACCTATTTCCATATAAGTATTTGATATACGTCTAAGTTTCTCAATAAACCATGTATACTCAAAGCCAGATCTGAGTTTTAAAAGTAAGGATGTGCATACCTAGTTATATGAATTAAACTTTACATTTTCATTCAAAAATAATTTTTAGAGGAATAAAATTACCATCACTGTAATAGAATCTTTTTTCTTTTCTTTTCTTTTTTTTTTTTTTTTTTTTTTTTTTGCTGAGATAGAAGGCAGGGTGAGACATTTTTGCTCTGAAAACTCCAACATCTTACATACATTTAAAAAGGACTTTGTTTTTCACAAATACTACTGAATGCCCACTTTACCAATTTTCACAAATCCCCCGAATGCTCACTTTATCAAAGAATGGGATTACAAGCCATCATTGTTCCAGTCCGCATGACTACTAAACTTACTGCTAAACCATAAGGTACTATTCACTGGTCTAAACAAGATAGTCCTACTTCCAAACGAGTTCAAAAATGAAATAAAGGACTTCCAGCTCAGGATGCAATATATCAAAAAATTAATGTTAATGGTAAAAGGGTATACTGCCCCTATAAAAGCAATAATCACTTCACAGCTACACTTTCTAAGGAGGTTTAAGAATATTTGGTACTATTTGGTTTTGAGGGCCATAAAAAATCACCAAACTATTGTTGATGCCAGTGCTGCCAAAAATAATTGCGGTAACCCTAACGCAATTGGAAGTATAATAGTAAACAACTATTTAAGATTGATGTTTTAATTTAGATGAAAGTTTAATTTCATATAATACTTTTTTATTATTATAATTTATATGAAAAAGGCTAAACATGACTGAATGGAAGCAGAAGAGTAAATAACTATTTCAGATCATTATTATAATTTATATAAAAATTGCTAAGCATAACTGAATGGATGCCTGCATCGCTATTTCTCTACCGAGTTATCGCTAAAGCATAATTTCATCTCGTTGGCTGTTCAAACATAATTTTCTATGATAAATGATGCCTTTTCTTTGAAAAAAATTCTCGGTTTTAAAGTGCAGAATCGCCCACTTATTTGTTTGCCGCTTTTTACAAGGGTAAAAACAATTGGATTTTTGTGAATTTTCTTTTACTTTTTAAGTGAAAATAGGTCGATGTGTACATAAATAAAGACAAGGGTGTGCGCAGTGCCATTTTTGTGGAATTCTGGGATTTTTTTTTAAAAGGTCAATGTGTACATGGATACCGAGTATGTGCAATTCTTAAAAATGCATCAAGCAGTGGGTGATTTTGCACTTTACCCAAAATTCTATTGCAGACTTTTCGTCATGGGCAATTCCCAAGTTGTTAAATCCATAGGATATCAAAAGAGGATTTAAAAATTAAACTAGTATTTCAATAGCATCTTAAGAAATATAGAACTATATAAACTTATGCAATCTGAAATCGGCGCGTACACTAGATTTGGTGCACTGTTAAATGGCCGTGTTTGCTAGATTTGGTGCCTTTTGTGCATACATTTTCACTGCAATTTTTTTACGATCCTCAAACCGGAATAGTACTGAATATTTTAACAGATAAGGAAGTATGAAGGTAAGCAATACCTTTAATTATGCCAGCCTGTTTTATCTCTCTAACAAATCACTGACTAACCCACAAATGAAATTATGAGCAATAAAAACCTAAACTACCTTCCCCTAAATAAAAATAATTACAAGCGGTTTCAATACGGCCAGAAAAATTTAAAAGTGTAGCACCTCCAGCAATACAAAAAAAAATTCAAACTTTCAATGAAGTTAAATTCAAGAAGCCAAAGGAAAATTTTAAATTTTATTCTAAACTCACAAAAAAGTAACTGCAGCTAAATTTCTTACCACATCATCAACAAATACATCAGAATTTGATTTAACAATGCAGTGGTAATAGAGCTACATCTAAATTATTTAACGGCTATGATTTCCTTAATGGCATCATACATATGAAAAATCCCGCCTATCAAAGAACTATCCTCCAATACCTCCAAAGATGAAATTATTCAAACACTTTCAGGAAGGGGATTTCAGGTACAGAAAGCTGAACAACTTATCCATAATTACAAAAGAGGAAACTACTGTTATATATGCCCTCGCTTGGTGACAAATTTCTCGCCAAAAATATTTGGCATGAAACCCCACGGTGCCATATTACTATCTAAATTTTTTGTCTACGTTTCGAATTTTAAGCCTAAAATGTCTCCAAAAACACACAATTTAAGATAAAAATCTGAAACAAAAACAAAAAATTTAGATAGCAAAAACGTAAAGTTTCTAACCAAAAATATTTGACAAGAATCCATGTACACAGCGATATGTTTTAACTTTAAAAAAGATTGCAGAATTGCGCAATCTATGCAACGAAGGAATCTACGAACTACGCACACCTAGCTTAAAATAAACATAACAACAAATTTCAAAGAATACCATGTACACAGGTGTTCTGTTTAAACTTAAAAATATCTACGAATTGCACAACCTAGCCAGCAAAGGAATCTACGAACTACGCACACCTTGCTTTAATAAATTAACATAACAACAATAAATAAAGATGAAATGGACTTTCAACCTCAATGTGTTGTTTGCGGTGAAATCCAAAGTACGAAACCATCGTTTCTTAAAGGACATCTTGAATCTAAGCATGCCAATTTAAAGGATAAACCTGAAGAAATTTTAAGTGGAAATTATCGGAGTTCGAATATAGTACACAAATAATGAAATGTGTTTTTACTTCAAGTGAAAAGTTAGTTACTTAGTAAGCCTAAGAATTGCTAAGACTAGACAGGCTCACAGTATTGAAGAAAACTTTATATTACCAGCAGCTAAAATATCATTTTAACATCATTCAATGAAAAAGCGGATAATGAACTTAAAAATATTCCATTATCAAATGATACAGTTAAGTCCAAGAATTCATGAAATTGCAAATTCCATAAAAGAGACACACAAAAAATATAAAAAACAGTAAGTATTTCACACTGCAATTGGATGAAAGTACTGACATAACGAACTTTGTTCAATTATTAATTTACACACGTTTCTAAGAATATAAGTGAATTGCCGAAGAGTATTTATTTTGTGCATCTTTTTATGATAGAGCAACTGCAAATGAAATTTTTAAAGTAATTGAGAATTTTATTATATTGTTTTTAAAGAAAATATATTCATTTTCAAAGTAATTGACAATATTCCTTGGATAAGCGCATTGCTGTATGCAGTGACAGAACTCGGACATTAACAGAAAAATATTCCGATGTTATTTCTCAAATAAAGAAAGTCACACCTGAAACTAAATTTACTCGCTGCTCCATTCATTGTGAAGCTTTAAGAGCCAAAAAAAATCCCAGATACCTTAAAATTGCTTTGAATCAAGCTGTGAAAATTGTTAATTTTATTGAAAGCCAAGCTTTAAATTCAAGAAAATTTACCATTTTATGCCAAGCGATGGCCAGTGAACATTAAAGGCTTTTGTTATGTTCCGTAGTAAGGTTCATCCAGAGGCAAAGTTTTAAACCAACTTTCTGAAGTTGGATCAGAAATTCAAATTTTTCTCTGCGATTCAAAATTTGGATTGGAAAAATTTTTTTATTTAGTGAATTATGGTTTTCGCATTTAGCATATTTAGCTGATATTTTTGGAAAGTCAAATGAATGAAATTTAGGATTGCAAAGACAAAGTGTTAATTTGTTTACCATTAGAGATAAAATAAAAGCAATGATAAAAAATCCCAAGCTAATAATCAAAGAATTCAATAATAAAATTTGAAGCTTTTTACCATTTAAAGAAATTTTCTATGTGAAAATAATTTGAAAATAAAAGAAGAATTAGCATCTGACATTAAAATCATTATTTTTCATTGTTAAATAATTTCAACATGTATTTTCCCGAGGATTGTTAAAAAGAAAATTGGATTAGAAATCCATTTGTTCAAATGTACCTGAAATTTTATCTCTTAGAAAAAGAACAATTGATAGAAATTCTCTGTGATCGAACTCTAACTGAAGATTTCAAAAACAACAGACTTGTTAACGTGAGGCTGAACCAAAAAACAAAGTCATTTTAAAAAGTTATTAAATTTTTATTGCTCTTTTGCACAACCTATTTGTGTGAACAAGGATTTTCTTCCACTTTCTATTCAAAAAATAAATACAGAAAAAAAATTAAAAGTGGATCCTAATTTAAGGTTAAAACCAAGTGAAATAAGACCAGACATAAAGAAACTAATCTCTCTTAAACAGGCCTAAATTTCACACTAAATTTTAGAATTAAAGTATTATGACTTAAATTTTGATAATCAAAATAACCAATTTTTAATCTAATATTTTTTATGTGTGCATATTTAATACAAACACCCAATAAGTCGTACAAATGGGGAATATAAATGTTTTAAAATTTTTCTAGTTTAGATGGTACGTGTTAGTCAAAAGGTTGAGAACTGCTGGCTTAGACTAATTTTTATTTTCCATGCACGTAAAGGGAGGGGAATGTAGGAGAGAGCAAAAATTTGATGGAATGTGAATAAATATTCCTGATTTAAGAACTTCTTTTTCCTTCACCAATAGAAAATTAGATATCCAAGCTACATACGCATATGATCGCAAAATCCAATTTGTAAGCTCTTTTCTGTCAACAAATGAATCTTCATTTTCATCCATCTTATGAGCTAAAAGTTTCAATCTTGCTTTTGCTTCACTTGGAGACAACTTATGAAATTCTTCAGCAGCTTGACGACTTCCTTAAAATAAAAATACAAGTATTTCAAATAAAAATACCGACACCCTCTAACAGTTAAATCACTTGAAATAAATGAAATGATAAAAAATGAAGAATATTTGATATAAATTGGTCAGTGGAAAAGAATTTGTAGAAACTCTCTCCAAAAAACAAAACAACCAAAAAAAAAAAAAAAAACTGTTGATTAGTTCATTATCATGAGTCAACAGAATTCGAATTTATTTCAGTAAAATTACTCTTAATTAAAAATATAAATTATAGTTTCATAAATTTACGCATGCTGCATTCTATACTAAATTTTGGCTAATCTTTGGAATATGGTAGCAGGTAGTTTGGTGACATTTTGGTAAGGCGATAAAGGTTACTTACTAGCTAGGACTTTATCAGTGTATAAGGATAAAGTCAAGAGTGTGCGCAATGCTATTTTTGTGCAATTCTGGGATATTTTTTTAAAGTGAAAATAGGTCGACGTGTACATGGATACCGTGTATGTGCAAAATCTTAAAAACGTGGTAAGCAGTGGGCGATTCTGCACTTTCTCCCAGTTTCGCACCTAATCTTCGTCATGATTAAGCACTTTTGTTCCATAAAAGTTCTAGCATAAGCGTAATTCGGCTAGCAGATTGTTGGAAAAAAATGTTGAGTAAAAAAAAACAAAACAAAAAAAAAAAAAAAAAAACATGCCTTTACTTCGTGAAAACAAAATGGTGTCCAAAACAAAACTAGCAGATTGCTGTAGCAGGGTTGGTCACCAAATTTTAGCCAAAAAATTGCCAAGTTACCATAATCCAAAGATTAATCTAAATTTTTAATACTAAAAATCATAAAAATATAAGCTGAAGAATCAAAAGGCATAGACAGTTAAAACTAAATAAAATTTTCAAGGTTGACAAGCTGAAACCACACTGAAATATTAGTAAAATACAAACTTCTGTAGACGGCCCATTTGGTTTATCAGCTATAACTGGAATTGAATGCAGCTGATAAAGAAGACGGTCATCTGCAAAAGCTCCTATTTTACTAATGTTTAAGAGTGATTTTAGTACGGTGACCTAAAACATTGTGTTTCATATAAAGATACAATTCGTGAAATGTATAAAAACACAAAGAACAAAATGTACAGAAAAAGAATGTACAAATACAGAAGTACTGAATCAAGTCTCAAACAGAAGTCAACCACTTGATTTCAGTACTTACCAATCTATAATAAATTAAAAATTATTCAGAAATATATTTATTAGAACTTCTGAAACGAGACTTTTATTATAAAATTACATAGTTAAATATTTTCTCCAAAGGAAATCAATTTATTACGGCTGTCTCAGATTACCTACTTACATTACTGCAATGCCTGAATTTTTAAGTTATCTAGATTATAATACAGTCAAAAGTTGTTAATCCGGACACCCATAATCCAGAATGATCTATAATCCGGACCTCAAAGCTACAAACTTTCTGCGCATGCGTCAATGCATAATGCGTTCACGCATGTGTGCATGCACATAATATGTTTACGCATGCGCGTTTAATGTATAACAGACGGTATAAGCTAAGCTAAAATTATCTATTTCAGTTAATGTTGCAGATAGCGTTGTTCCTTAATCTTCAAATTGGATCCGGCTTATTACTATTTGCAGACTGTTAGAGCAATTTTATGAAAGTAAGCCTGAACTTTCGATTACCTCAAATAGAATTTCCGATATATATTTACTAATATGTAAAGGATCTACAAAGCAAAAGTATGTTTCGATGTCCATCAAACAAAAAGTGGAATTGCTGCAAAAAATGGATAAAGGCATATCCTTTGTTTCTCTAACCATTCCGAAATCTGTTTATCAATTTCACGCTGTTCTGCAGGTGTGTGGGGGGGCTTCGCAATGAACTGGAAGTTGATCTGTCAGCACTATCCTTATCTTCAGGGCAGATGTTTTTATTTTATTCAGCTTATAATTCCTTACTAAATGTAGTATTTCATCTCGATGTATTCCGTCTTTGATATGATTTAAATCAAATTCCATCATTACAAATATCACGAAGTACACATCAAATAGTTTTCTGGTTTGCAATTTTCTAATTTCGACTATGCGTAATGTATGCTTTACGCATGCACGCTGTTGAAAGAAATGTTTAATAAAGTAAACAAATAAATATTAAGCTTTTTTTTTTTTTTGTAAATTTTGATACCCTTTAGATCATAATTGCTGCTCTTATTTCATAAATTACGGTTTCAATATTTTAATTTTATAATTTCTGCATGCCATCTTACCAGATTTAAACTGATGATCTATAATCCGGAAAAATCGATAATCCGGAATCGCCGAAGTGCCAACGAGTCCGGATTAAAGACTTTTGACTGTACAAGGGAACAAAGGTCGAAGATCAGATATTAAAGAAACTACTAATGTAATCAGTGTAACATGAGTATATTTGCAAGACTATAATTTTGAAGGTTAACTGATACTTCTTTAGTTACAGGAACGAAAATGACAAAGAAGCATTCTTCTACAGTACATATATTCTTGTGTGTTTCTGTGATTTGCAATATCTCAGGACTATAATTTTGAAGGTTAACTGATACTTCTTTAGTTACAGGAATGAAAATGACAAAGAAGCATTCTTCTACAGTACACATATTCTTGTGTGTTTCTGTGATTTGCAATATCTCAGGAACATGAACTATATTTCCTTTTTTCCCTTGTATTTTGGTACTTTTTGATTATCTGATTAAAAGTCCCGAACCCACAAACCACTTTGTGAATCAGAAAAAAAAGTTTGTCTGGCTATCTTTACAGCTCATAGGTATTGTTTTGTTTCATAACTAATGATAATAAAAGTATTTTTATAAGAAACAAGGCCTTTTATGAGAGTGAAAAATCTATATGGCCATATCTTTACAGCCAGTGGATACTGTTCAGCAAAATGACAGTTAAAAAGCATGAAAATCCACAGACACTCAAATGTGTGTGGTACAGGTGAGCACAGATTGGTTACTGCTGCATGTATTCTATAAGACTAGAAGCATTAGTGACCACAAGAACATCAAAATTTCTGGGAGGGGAAGAAAAACCATTTGTTTGCTTTATTAAGAATTTCTTTCAATTAAGTTATTTAAGGTGCTTCATATTTTGTGCTAATATTTTCTCTTTAATTTTACCACCCAGATAGGCATAATTTCTTATTTACTTGCTAATCTCATTTATTCAGGTCCTGTAATTGGCTTGTCAAGAATTCTACTAAATTTTCAATGAAATTTTTTCACACATATTCAATATATCTATGGTAATAAATGACATATTTCTTCAATACAGAGTTGTTATATTTAGTATTAAATTAAAAATCAAGACCCTACACGCTTTATTGCGAAAAAATGTTGCATATGCGTGAAACATTAAGCGTAACTCTCAGAATCTAATTCTTTCTCAATTTTCGGAAACCATTTCTTTAAAAAAAAAACTTTTGTGGTCTGGATTTGTGACTGTACTGTACTAACAATTTAAAATAAGTCTTTTGAGAGTGGGACAATAAATATATTAAGGCAGTGGTGGCGAATCTTTTTGGGACCGTGTGCCAAGAAACTTTTTGATGTGTTGAGAAGAGAATTTTTTAACTGCTTGGTTAATAAAGTTGGGTGAAAAAATTCTTATCTCAACACAACAGAAAGCACACTCTTGTTTTAGGAGATTATAAGAATTCTGTTGTCATTCCTTTCTTCCCACTGATTAGCTATAAAATTGTGTGTATTTTACAGAAATTTAACTTTTGGGTAGTTTATTCTCCTATTAATAAAATTCCTAGTTCATTACTTAAGGAGACTATTCCGGATATGAATTCCTGGGTATTTGCAAGATTCCTTGCCAATGTGATTTAATTTACATTTAATTGTGATTTAATTACATTTAATTAAACATACATTAATTTACATTGGCCAAACTAAGCCTAAAATTTCATGTTAAAGAATAAGAGGCATATATCATTAAAATGGAAACAGAGAAGTTCTCTCTTGCCTAGCACTGTTGGTCCAAAAATCGCTTTCCATTTTCTGCAGCCAAAATTATTCATAAAACACCTTCCATTGGCGAATTACATTTTTGGGAGACGTTTCACGTTAAAAAAAATCTTTCTGTTCTCTTCTTGACAACAGTAATTCCATTTCATCTTTACCTTCAGGCTTTAAAGAAATTATGATTTAGTTTTCTTGTTTCATCAATAGATGGCACCACTACCTTAACTTCTGTAAAGCCATTCTTATCTTATCACCATATCTTATTCATTTGCACTTTGGCAGCTGGAAAGATGGTTCTGTAGTTAACCCTTTCTGGCACGCTACCTTTTAAATTTGGAATTTCAACAAAAGAAAAAGGTAAGCAGTCTAATCAGGCCTCGAGGAGCATACAGGTAAAATTTTGTGAAGAGAGCACTTATCATTTGAATTCTGTGGGTATGCCCGAAACAGGCACACTGAATGAATAGAGTTTTGAAAAGAGTGCTGAAACAATCATTGCTGGGAAGCACACAAAAGAGTAAGAGATTTTGCCTATGATTAAAAAACACTAGATTCTGAATACCGTAGCAGATTTAGCATTAGCCAGGGTATGCCACGGGGAGGTCTGCTACTATACACCCCCTTAAAAAAGCTTTTCTTGGTTATATGATGATTACATGCATATGAATGGAAAAAAAGTAGCTTGGGTATATGATATTTACATTATTTACACTTTCATCTATTTTCTTCATGGTGGTACTTTTCGAAGAAAGTGACACCATCTTTAAAAAAGCACAACCCAATATTGCGTGTTTTGCACATTCACATTCAAAAAAAATAATAAACTAATATTACACCTACAATTAGAAATTATAAACTATAAAATAAAATTAAATAAATGTCTACAACTCAAAACTATCAAACATAGTGCTAACAAAACTTCTTTGAACAAAAGCGAAAGAAAAAAAACAAACAGCTGACTGATAAAATTACCCCTGACCTTCAGAAAATGACCCAACAATTTCGTAGTTGATAACCAAACCTCCCCTCAAAAAAAAAAAAAAAAAAAAAAAAAAGGAGAGGAAAGAAAGAAAGAGAAAACAGGAAATGGAACACAGATGTGAACCCACCTCTCTATTGTTGATAAACTGACCGGAGAACGGCAGAGAAACAAAGATACAGTTCTTATTCTAGTACTAGTCTTTCAGTGAGCCCACTCTCGGCACATCTGACGTTTGCCGTTCGATTTTAGGCAAGATTTCAAGGTAAAAATTTAAAACTAATATAAAATAAGGAGATTAGCATAGGGCCAAGAAAATAAGATGAAAATTTCTTTTCAAACAATCCCTTCTATATCCTAAAAAAAAAAAAAAAAAGAATCTGGAAGATTTCTTTGAAAAATGAGGGTCTTTAAAAACTAAACATGGCATGGTGTGCCCATACCGTGCAAAGGGTTAAGCAGCATGGATTTCTTTCTATAGGGTGCACTGAAAAATGCTATGTATGTAACACCTGTGGATTCCAAAACAGATCTGGCTCCCAGAATCATCTGTGCTGCTGCAGATATCCAACAAAATCCAGGTGTACTTGAGCAATTCCACCAATCCATGGTCCGAAGGTGTACCGCATGCATCCCTAGCAATGGTGGAAACTTTGAACATCTTTTGTGACAGTTTCACACATCATCTATCACAGCCCATTTAATATCTATGGCCAATAAATATTTCAGATGATCTCAGTCTTGTGTCTCTTTGTTTCTTATACCTGTCATACTACTTTCACATGACATTTCTGATCATGGGTTGCTATGCAAATCTAAATCCTTGTGATGTCCTCTACCTCCTCTTAAAGTTTGTCACAATAATCCTGGGATATCCTGTATATAACTACAAAATATATAAATTTTACCTTGAATTCTAAGCTGCAACCTCATAATTACTCTAGTAAGATTAAAAAACTGAAAAAAAAAATGTTAAATTCAGGTTGCAAAACTGAACATAGGAATGTATGAAATACTATTTTCATACAATGCGATTTAGTAATTCGGTGCATCTAGGCTACATTATCACATACAAAAGTGACATTAATACAATTACATCAGATATTCTAATTAATGGACAATTTTTCTTAGAAGAGTTAAATTTTATCAATATCTACCTTACACACAGAAGTTTCATGAGGGAAAGTTCTATTTAAAAACAATACAGATTTCTATATTAATATAATAGATTTCTAAACCAAAAAATTATAGTTATTCTTTCATTCCCCACTAGTAGATAAGTGGTTAAGACCACTGAAAACTGGTACTTTGATCAGGGCTGTACCCAGACGAACAGGCAGACTGCATGGTTAGTTTTTTTTGCACCTGTAATGTAAATACCAACCAGTTTCCCGAAAAAAATCCTCTATACAAGCATCTCACCCTTTAGGGCAGATAGCTCACATGTGCTTTGCTATATTCAAATAACCAAGTCTAATCTTGTTCGTACACACTAATGGGATTTCCAATTCCAATGTTAACAAACATTAAATATATTAGACGAAATGCTAAAGTAAGAGAAACTGGATAATGATTAATGATGGCATGACACTCACAATATCTTAATATGGTAGCACATGATAAACAAATAGAATTTTGTATAATATCACCTTGGCATACAACTTAAGAAAGAACCCAATATTTAAAGTCTATTTAAAGTCTAACAGGAATAGATCTTGCGTCAGTCATGGAGGCAACGTGAATCAAGCTTAAGTGCAAGATCTGCAACAAGCATTGACTAAGGAGTAGGGCAGAGCTGAATTAACTTTTAAGCAAAATAAGAATGTGCTTAGGGCATCAAGAAAGGGGACACCACATAACATCACTACTGCTGTTTTTACCATGAAATGCTGCAAGTAAACCAAGACCAATAGGAAAGAAATGGGGGACCAAAATCTTTTAAATGCTCATGGCCACTAAAAGTCTTCTAGATGTTGTAATCGAAAAATACGTGATGGCTATATCACCTCTAAAGAAAGAGGTATCTTCACAGTGCTTTAAAGGGAAACTGATTCATATTCACATTGTACATTTTTACAACCACACACACACAAAAAAAAAAAAAATCCATGCAGCCAGCTCGTTCAACTGGGTTTTAATTGTCAGTATTCAGCATTATTAACCTCTTTATCACTGATGGTGGTCTGTGAAGTAAGGAAAACTCCAAACTAAACACTACAACAATAAACACACAAAGGAATAATGAATTTAAAAAAGTTAAGTAGTTCTAATCACACGACCATACTTAATGCTCGAATAAGATTAATATGAGTTGGCAATTAAATAAATGTAAACTTTTACGTAATTCATACCTCATTCAAGTTTAATCCTAGTATCCGGTGCACACGGGATTTGGCTACTTTTGGCGACTTTTATGATCAGCAGTAAAAACGGGACATATACGATGAGTAGTAAACGGGTATTCAAAGAATATATATAGTTGTACATAGTATATACTATGTATATAGTGTATAGCGTACTATCACTATATATACATAGACGTTGTTTTGGTAATTTTTGGTGTTGGCGATAATTTTCAAAATGGCGCCAAGGCTGCACCGTATACTAGGATTTTACCTCTAATTCACTTAATATTTAATTAATACTTTTACCTAATTCATAATTTTACAGGTAAAACGCGCAATTACCTAAAACAGATTCATGATCGAATTCGTAATCATGTTCCCCATCTTTGAAGTGATCCTTATCACGAGCAATATAATTTCCATCTTCAACATTTTCTTTTGCTCCTTTTGTCTTGTGAGTATGAGATTCGCATGTAGAAAAACTAACAGCGAAAGTGATGATGGTGATTTTCCAAAATACTGCAAGCATATTGGCACGTTTATCAACTCTTCGCTACACTGTTACACACTACCATAAGCCGAGGAAAGAAATATTTATACGATTTCCAGTACAGTTGTGTAAAATTCCTCACCCACAACATGCAAATGTGCAAACAATTAAACCCAAACTACCTCATCTGTCAATTGTACGCACTGACAGTTAAGAAACCCGGCATCCGGATGTTGTTGATTTAGCCGAACATGTAGTGCAGCACTAGGCAGGAAATGAAGCGGTGAAAAATTTACAAATCCTTCACTGGAATTCTGCTTTTGAGTTAATTCGGTTAACACAGATAACGATATGTAAGAGTTACATACACAAAGTGTACTAACTAAGGAATCATAACATGTGAAATCGTGAAGTTTAAAGTAATACGTAAATCTTAATAAACTAATAAAAAAAAGCAAATTAAACAGATTTTGTTAGATAAGCTAAAAATCAAATTATGAATGGCATTTGCATATTATTAATAATTATCATATAAATTAAGCAAAACCTGATGGACTATACGAGGAGTGGCACAAGTACCGCTCTTGAGCCGCATGGGGAAGAAATATTTGTCGCCACTCCCTGCCATTTAGTAGCACACCAAGAAAAAACACGGAAAAAAATCAAGGGCCTTTCAATGATGATTACATTTTTCGCGTCTCGATTAATTATATAGCTTGCGTGTGTAGGGCACCATGCTGGAAGACAAACAATGGATTTATTTTAGGAAAAAATACATCGATCTCAGTTTCAACCCAAGGTCTTCTAATTTTGTGACGCTATTAGCTGTCTAGAAATGCAATTATTTTGCTTGGGTTACCCTATTTGGTCTTTTGTCACTTACTTGGCAATTAAAAACTCAAGGCAAGTAAATAATATATTGCAAAATCTTATCCAAGTAAGTGATAGAAACTGAGTGTAAGATAATTTTAAACCACCCCTTAATATCTCGAAACAGTGTACTTTCAATAGATAACAAGTTACTCATTTATAAAACCTTATTGTGTCCCATACTTTGTTATGCTTGCCCTGTATGGGCATATTCTTATAAATCTGCCAGGAAAAACTTCAATGGGCACAAAATTGTGTGCACGAACTCACAATGGTACATGAGAAATCAAAAAATTCACGAACTACGCACGTAACAACTAAAATACTTCTATGGCCAAACTGCTCGAAAATTCTATCATAACCTGAAAAATATCAAAACCCCGGTTATTAGGGTTTATAACTATGACTTTAATGATCCATGCCACAGTAAAAGGCCTAAGGCCATTTTAAGTAACCAACTTGACTATTTTACCTCTATTTATTACCTAGTGATATATGCTCGCCTTTTTATGTAGTATATGGCCATTGTTATTATGTATATTGTTATGTTATACTCTTCGAAGCACACCTTAGGATCAGTGGCGTAGCGAGGAGGGGGCAAGGGGGTGCATGATGCCCCGGGCGCCGCTCGTAGAAGGGCGCCAAATGGTCTCCAAACAAGATTTTCCTGAAAATTTCAGTTTTTATTTTGATCGATTTCTGGAAAATATGTTTAAAATTAATAACTATGGTAATATAATTAATTATTTATTTTCTTGAGTTTTCTCATAAAATGTGTAATAAAATGTTCGCAGTACATCAACCAAAACATTCTTTCTGACCACTTTATTTCTCCAATGAAGAGATATATTTTTATTTCTTTAAACGAAATGCATGTGTATCTCCCGCTTTTTATTTTAAAACGATAACACGACCTTGTCCGGAATTTCTCAAACATATTTAATTTTCAAAATCTGATTCCATAATCTGGAAATGACATTTTGGGAAAATCCTAACGCTTCCGCTACAATGAATTGCGTTTGACTCTCCTGTAAACGACTGATGGCCTTCCTGGCTACCGATTCAACTAAGTCATCTTGCTGAGACATCGTATATTCACTGCTACGAAGCATTCAACGCTTGTCAATTGTTTTAATCTCCTATTACAAAAGGAATACTGCAAGTCGCTCCTTACTCCTTATCTAAAACGCATAGTTTTCGACGTCACAGACTAAATTTGCATATTCCCAACTTTGTAAACGTTATAATTTTCCTTTATAATCTCTTCTATTTCCTTTTGTTCAAAAAGGTTGTCGATTATATGGTTATTTCATACCGAACCCACAATATCCCCTAATTGTTTTGAGCAGTGAATGTGACTGCATGGCGTTACTCCGCAGTAGAAAAGAAACGGAACCTAAAAGTCCACTACAGATCTACAGAGAAAATGTTTTTCAAAACCTAAGAGTCGCACTTCAAACACTCCTTACTATTTCATTATCAAATGCTAGCTATGAATGTTCGTTCAGCAAATTAAAATAAATTTTCACATATTTACAATCAACGATGGGACAAGATCCCCTAAGTCATCTAGCATTTTTAAGTGTGCAAAGAGAAAAAGTTGAAAGGATCGACTTCAATGAAGCAAATGATAAATTTGCTTCATCCAAGGTAAGAAAAATGTGTACATAGTAATTAATTGTATTCATGTATTATATTATTATTAATAAATATAAGTTCCCGACCAAGTCGAGGTCCACGTGATTGAAGCGAGACGAGGGGAAATAAAACTTTTTAAGTTGGCTGGTGGTGTGTCTGACAATTTTAGATCTTTGGCACTCCAAGCAGGAACATGTCCAGTTGGCTATGTTCTTTCGCATGCTAGGCCATACGAAACGTTGCTGTATCAGTTTCCTAGAAGCCTTGATGCCAGGGTGTGACAGACGATGTAACTGACTAAAAATGGCATGGTGAAACCCGGAGGGAACATAAGGTTGAAATCTTGAATCCTGAACATTACAATAAAGTGATTTTTCAAGTGACAGCTGCATAGGCTGCAAGTTGAGATTGGTGGAAGATTTGCTTTTCGAAAGAGGTTTGTAGTTCTGAATCTCGGTGTTGTTTATCCGCAAGGGCAGCAAAGTTTAATTGGCGAAGGAACGGCTAGTTCTTCAATAGGAGACAAGGTGTCCGCAATATTCTGCGAACCCTCAATATAACGGATATCTGTTGAAAATTGCCCTATGAAGTCTAGGTGTCTCATTTGACCAGGAGAAGCTTTATCCGAACGCTGTTGAAAAGCATAGGTTAAGGGGTTTTGATCTCTGAAGATCATGAAAACGCGTCCCTCTAGCATATGTCAAAACTATTTGACAGATTCATAAGTTCCTAATAACTCGCGATCGTAAGTGCTGTATCTGGTTTGTGCTGGTCAGAGATTTTTAGAAAAATATGAAAGTGGTCTCCATAATTCTTGATCGTTCTGTTGTAGAACTGCTCCTATACCTGTTGTTGATGCGTAAACGTGTAGAAATATTAAGTTATTTTTTAGAAGCAGAAGAGATTAAAAATATGCAACGCCTTCGCCGGGAATCGAGCTGCGGACCTCTGGAGTACCGGCGGCCCAGCCTGCAGAACCCACTACACCACGAAGGCACGCTAGGAAAGCGGGAGAAATACCTTATATACTCCCCGTTTTAAAGGGCGACTGGGGTTTTAGGGAACCCAATTGCCAAATTCTGGGTGTGCAGAATCCTCATCCAACACCCCTTTTAGTTCGGGCGCCACTGTAGAGACATTAGGATATTTGGAAGCAAGAGAGACTGAAAATTTAGCAACCGTCTTCGCCGGGAATCGAACCGCGGACCTCTGGAGTACCGGCCCAGCGTGCAGACCCACTACACCACAAAGGCACGCTAGGAAAGCGGGAGAAATACCTTATAAACGTAGAGTGATAATGGCTTAGATGCGGAAGGATACTACAAATTTGTTGCCGAAATTAAATCATTCTTGAATTTTGGAAGGTTTCGCGAGATTCTCTGGTCCAGGTTTATCGTTTTTCTTGCTTCCAACCAAAAAAGAATTTAGAGATGCTTGTATGGTTGCTACATGAGGTAAGAAATGTAGATAAAATTAAGCATAGCAAGAAATCTTCTTAAGTCCTTTGCTGTAGATGGTTCAGGCATATAGCGGATAGAGGTGACTCAGGAAGGGGTCGAACGCCATCGGCGGAAATTTGATGACCAAGAAAGGATACACTTGGTTCGCCAGAAACGCATTTGGAAGGATTAAGACTAACACCGTACCTTTGAAAACGTTCAAAAACTGTTCTCAACTATGATAGGTGTTTTTGCTCTGAAGAGGAGGCGATTAAGACGCCATTAAAATAAGATACACAAAAGTCGAGACCGATTAACACCTGATTCATGAAGCGTTAGAACGTTTGAGCAGCACTGCATAATCTGAAACTCAAATAGTCCAAAAGGCGTAATAACCGCAGATTTTGGAATATCAGCTGGGTTAACGGGCACTTGGTGATACGCCCGCTCAAGATCAAAGGTTGTAAAAATAGCTTTTCCCTCTAAAGTTTGCATACAGTTTTGAATGTGCGAGACTGGGTAACGATCAGGAATTGAAGCCGCATTTAACTGGCGATAATCGCCCCTTACCATTTCGTTTCCGAACTAGATGGAGCGGACTGGCCCATGAACATTCTGAAGGACGGCAAATTCCCTGTTCCATCATGTATTGAAATTCATCTCTTTGGCGGCTTTAAGCTTGTCCGAAGGTAAGCGTCTTGCTTTAGCGGCAATTGGAGGTCCGTTAGTTTCAATATAATGTAGTACATCGTGCTTGGGCTCGGAAATACCCATAACTGGGCGCGTGATTGTAGAGAATTCTCTGAGAAGTTGATGCCATGGGGAGTTACCCGAAATCACTTTAATGCTCAAATCTTGACTGTTGCGAATTACTCCCGGATAAGTTAAGTTGGTTGTGGAATCTATGAAACGACGATTCTTAAGATTGACAAACAAAGAAAATTTTTGTAAAAAGTCAGCTACAATAATAGGACTTGAAACAATAGCAATAATGAATGGCCATTGGAAGTTACGGCGCCATCCTAAATCGACAGATATCAGGCGTTCACCAAAAGTTTGAATAGGAGTTCCATTTGCTACATAAAGTTTAACTTGGTAAGGTGCTTTTGTTCGTAAAAATGTGGTGGAACGACAGAAACATCAGCCCCGGTGTCTACAAGAAACCTTAAGCCCGAATTATTTTCGATGACGAAACGGCGTGCAAAATTCCGTCCGCTGTCGTTCACGACTTCGAGCAACGGTCCTTCTCGTTTCCCTGGTCGTTATAACGACACAGTGGGCGGCATAAGTTAGCCTTATTTCCAAATTTTCGGTGGTTAAAAACA